AGATATAGATATATAGATATATAGATATATACATACACACACGAATACACATATTCACACATACATCTGGATGTATGTTTTGGTAGCAATATGTGTGAAAGTAGATGTTCCCCTCCACACATGTGAAAGCTGGAGAATCGGAAGCTGCAGACTGGCGCTTCTTTGCTGAAGGTCCAGGCTCCCCCATGGTGGCCGGCGTCGTGTATGCCAGGAACACCTGTGAACACATATGTGTCCTCTTCGTGTCTCAGTGTCTTCACTTGCATCGGCAAGCCCTTCTGGGAAATGTCTTTCTCAAAGCCAGGAGATCCTCCGAATTTCCGGCTTACCTGCTCCGGGTCATCGAAGAAGCCTTCCAAGGTTGCCTTGGACAGAATCGAACCCCGAACCAAAACAACAGCTGGAGATGGCTTTGCTCTCCACCCGCCGCCTGATAGCGCTCCATTCCCAAGCTGCAAAGCCAAGCAGCCAGAGGCCCTGACGAGGTCAAAGCGTCCAACGCGGTTTGCTTCTCGTTGCTGCTCGTCGCGGCCTTGAGCCTTCGTCTCCTCTTGGGGCGGAGCTGTCGAGGGACCTTCGTCCGAGCCTCTCACAGGACGGAGTCCCGAACGTCTGCAACCGGGGCTGTCCCTGCCTCTGCCCGAGTTCAGACTCGACCTCGCCGAGCGAGACCTGGCCGTGACGGCTTCTGCTCCGCTCCGAGGGAGCACTTGGCCTCAGCCTCGGCCTCGGCCTCGGTTTGAGCCAGCGGCCATCCTGCCGAGCGACTCTCCTGCGCTTCCCCTGACGCGCCAGGGACCCGTGCTTTTGTCGGGGGGTTCTGGCATTCCGGTCTGAGTCTAGGCGCTCTTAGCAGACTTCAAGTATGCCAACGCCCTGACATTTGCTAGCCAGCCCGAACCCGCTTGAAGGGCAAGGGCCCAGTTTGCCAGCAAATGTGGCGGAAAATCACAAGTTTACACTCTATACAGCTGGCACTTTTTGTCAGTTCGTCTGGTGACACACTATGCGACGTGTCCTTGGACCTTCCTCCAGCAGACGACATGACATCGGGGAGGGCTTTCTGCCCCGTTCGTACTAGCTGCGAGCCAGGAACGAAGCTAGAGATTCCGCTAAACTACTCAGTGCCGATGAGTGCTTCCCTTTGCTGACTGGTAGTGTTGAATCCCTGCTTCAAAGCCGTATGGCTCGCTATGCACAAAGAATTCCCCACTTCGCCCTGAGGCGGAAGGGTCAAGGGAGGGTCCAGGTCTGTCCTTCCAGCGCAGCCTTTGTGGCCGAAGGACGTCCTGTCCCACACAAAACTCGAGACCACCACTTTGTGTGGCGGAGTCCGGGAAAACCACCTGATTTTTGGGCCCTCGAACTGTGTTGGCAACGTGGGGCCCCAAAAGGAGGTAGCTAGGTGTCAAGCGCGCTGCTCGACGAAGACTTCCAAACGGCTGCTGGGGACATGGCAGTGCGCTCTTGCTGCGATGACCCGCTTGCATAAACCTTTGTAAAGCCTTTCTTCGGGACTTTGCCATGTCGGTTCGGCTGACTTGTGCACGCCAACAGCTCGGCTACGCCGGGAGTGGTCCTTTTGCCGGGAGAACCAGACCCAGGAGCCCGTGCCTCAGTGCAACTTCTCAAGTCTGCAACTTTGCTCTTCGCACCCTCGCCCTTCTATGCGTGCGCTAGGGTACGGAGGTGTGTCATCCGCACACCGTGTAGATACTGAAACATTCTGGCTGACATTGGAGCTCAAGGACTGTGGGCTGCAGCCATCCTCGGTGGTGATCAAACATGCAATATCATGCAATGCTTGACATGAACCGCTTTGAGTGGATGCCCTTCGCGAACCCTCTCAAGCATCTCACTAGGGCACCGTCTGTGGCTGCGGGAGGATCCCTCCGACTAGGCACGTACTGCAACGCCCTCACCAGCGACTCCTGGCAGGCTGGCGCTGCGCAGTGGTTCCGTGTGGCACCGCCGGGCCATGCCACATGGAAGCAGTAGCACCTAGAATAGCACGACGTGACGATGCGATCGCAGGGATGTTTGGGCTCACGTGCACGCGCTGTCATGCCGAGAGTTGCAGGTCCTTCTCTTGGGCGAAGCGAAGTCCGCTGATGATGCAAGCAGAGATGAACTCGTAGACTGCTACCCAGGCCTGGCAGGCTTGTTATGTGCTGTTCAAATTTATAACTTGGGAAACACTCCGCATGCGAGGAAATGGGGAAGGAAGTTCGCGAAACACCCCCCATGAAGAACGGTCTGGTCCCAAAGGCTTCTGCTTGCCCCAAAGTGTACAGAGTTCATGATACGCAGGTAGCGTCTGCCGTCAATGACATCCTGTTGTTGTGCTTGTGGATGGACAAAAACGTGTCTTGGATGTGGACGGACATGAGAGTACTAAGTACGGCATGGCCCAACTCAAACGTCTGGTGCGATTCTGAGGAACATTGCCACCATCCAGCCAACCAGCTGTGTGGTTGCGCTGTGGAATCTTCAATGGTTTCAGCTGTGGGCCGTACTGGTTCGTCTGTGGTGTGGCCTAGGGCAGGTTGAATCACTGGTCTCGAACATCAAGCTGGCCATCAGGGGGATGCAGCTGACTGCTTTGTCAAGCTTCGGGGAGTTGCAGGCAACAGCTCCAATCTTGCGGAAAGCCGCACCAGGTGGAGTCATGTGAAGTCCACATTCCGTCCGTTCTCTCCGGAAAAGGCTTGACGGGTTTGTTTCCGCATGCCGGCTGCATTCACCTGGATTCGGGAACCAACATTTCAGCCTGACAATGCGAATCCGGGATTGTCCAACCTCGCGGCCTCGCGACTTCACCTGCGACCTGTGCATCCTAAGCCAAACTGGTAACACATTCTGCGGAGTTCGCACTGTCAAGCGGGAGTCAAGCAAAGCTCTGATTTTTACACCGCACATGTAAATTGTTCTGAAATCTGAAGTGTCATTTGAAGTTGCTGCGTCCGTGCTCATGTTTCTAAGCAGGCCGAAATAATGAGCAGGCATGCTCCTAGTTTTGCGCACCGTCTCGAGCTTGTGCGCGCGATTAGCAACGATTGCACTCTGAGAGATCTCACACATTCTAGAACTGCAGGCTACACGGTTGGCTGAATGCAATCGGTCAAGAACTGCACCATCGACAGTGGTCCACAAGGAATGAAGACTCTATCCGACGGAACATGCACTGTCAGGTGGGTTGTGGGCTTGGTCTTGCCTGCAGATCCAGTGAACAAAAGGAATCGTTGCCGATTCACATCGTGAAAACCAAATTCAATGTCATTGAAATGTTGCTGCTACCTGTTGCCTACGGCATAGTTCTCAACACCAGAGAAAAATTAGTTAAAAAATTTCTCCGGGCGCAATGCGCCCTTATTGTGGACAAGCAGTCGGATCATGTTGGCAAGCAATCAGAGCAGGCACCATGGTTGCCAAGACATCTCTTTTGCATGCATTGCTCCTGTAGATATGCTGCGGTACTCATGTTAAAAGGGGTCGCCTGCTTGACGTCTTCAGTCAAAGACGTGCCCAGTCCGTCCTGCCAAGAACGGGACGTGCAGACACAAGACGCGGCGCGGCTGCGCCCGCTAACTGCGCTCCTGCAAGGTCAGCACCAGGGCTTGGCCGCCGTATTCGAAGAACTCCTGCGGGGGAGTGTGGAGCCTAGAGTAACATGAGTAACGCCGTGGCTTCGGCTCGGAGATCCAAACCTCCCCCCCCCCTCCATGAATCCTCTTTCATGTTGTAGTTGATGTGACGCATTCCCAATGCATTCAACTCCTTCATGCAGGGACACGTGCAATCACGTGCAACAGCTGAGAGATTTTCACAGTTAAGCAGGTTGCTGCCGAGGTTCAGCGACGAGCCTCGAGATATTGTGCAGTCCAGCCACCGCACTTCCCACCGCCTCGACAACCTCATGCAGCACAACACCCGGCTCCGTGTTCTTAGCCTGTCTTGGTGTGGTATATTCTGGTGCACCTTGGCGAAAAGGTTGCGCAGCGCCGGGGAGTTCTCGAAACCATCCTCAACCTCCCAACTTGTTAACTTGGTTGGGCTCGCCCAAAGCCCGCCGCGACTTGCAGGACAAGGCAGACAAGGCCTCCTCCTCGCTGCAGCTCCAGTCGCGGTAGCGCTTGCGCACACTGACTGGGAAGAGCGACTTGGTTACTGGTGCAATCTTGAACAAGTGCTTGTACATTATCTCGCCGATGTTCGCAACTCCGAGTTCCTGTCGAAAGATGCACATCGCTGTCCTGCTAGGGTTATGTGGGCCGTCTGCCTTCACCACCATCCAACTCTGCTGCACAGTGCTGATGGTTCCGCTCGAAGGCACCATGCCCGGCTGCTGAGCCTCAGATAATCTCAGATACGGCAGCATTGACAGCAACTGACGGGCGAAGAAGAACATCCCCTTAGACTTTCGCCGCTGAGTCCCGTCGTGCCGCAAAGCCGCTGTTTCCAACAACCTCGATGGAGGCTTGAACTCCTTTGCGGCAGCTTTGCCTCGACGGAGATCAGCACTGACGTCAGAACCCGCCCTACAGGCCCCGCATCGCACTGACCCGGCCTGCTTGGGGCCGAGAGAGCAGCGTCTTCGAGCCATCGGACCTCGGCAGAGAGGACCAGCAGAGCTTCAGTCCGTCGCTTTCTCTCTTCGAAAGCCGCCGAGTAGCGGAGGGGCCGGGGCTTTCGCCTGGATCTCGCCGGCCTCACGTATCCCGCGGGCCACCGCCGAGGAGACAAAGTCCTTATAACACTCAGGCACTCTTCGTCACGTTCTGGCAATTGGTTTTCCCAGGATTTCGATTTTGCCACTTCCGCTTACTGCGAAGAACCTGCTCTTCATCTCTCAAGTATGTTCCACGACGCACACATCCGAGCGTCGAAGACCGTGATCCAAGCTTGATCTGCTTCCGGTGTTAGGAAGCCTTGGAAGCAGAGTCTGTTCAAGTCAAGGCTGCTTGAAACCCAGCAGGCCAAGCCACGACACTGGCCTCTGAAAGCAAGAAGAAGAGCTTGGCCGAAGGCCTTCAAGTGCTCCTCGGCAGGCTGCTCCTGGGCCTAGAGGGCCTGGGAAGCGCAGCCTATGCCGTCCTCCTTTACGCCATAGTCGGCATGGCGAAGCCCAAGAGCACTCATTTCCAGAACCACCTTTCCTGAGCGTCCCAGGCATGCACGTGTCTGGTAGCGCACATAAGAGCGCGTCACACCTGGGTTCTGAAGTCTCATCACGGCAGCGCCCAGTGCAGAGACCATCTGCATCGAGAAAGTAGTATTCAGGGCGCATCTCCGCGGTGACTCTCTCTATAATTGAAAAAGACACGTCTCACACTCCAAAGAGGACTCCCAAAGAGAGGCGCCCGGGGGGGCGGGGCGGGCGGGGCGGGGCCGCGGGGGGCCGAATGGCCTTGGAGAAGAGCTCACGCAAGGCGATGGACGATATGGACGTCTCGAAGGTCTGCTGGGCCTGATTCAGAGGAATGTTTTCCCCCTCCTCTCTTTGTAAGCTCCAAGGAGACGACGGGGGTCCCTCTTTTGGCCTCGATCGGACTGGTCCAGTCCCTGTAGCGGTTGCGCACAGCCATCGGAAACAATGCCTTCGATGATGGGTTCAAGATAAACCTGAACTCAGGCAGTATCTCTTGTCAGGGCATGGAGGTGTAGCGACTCACACGTCTCGGTATACTGCCAATCTCATGACCACAACAAACGGCAGGGCCCGTCCTAGCGGGTCTTGTCAACATGTCTCTTAGACTCAGGCAAGACACAGATTCTTGCAAAAAGCCTCTGCAATCGTGCCGATGCTGGGCCGCATTTCCCGCCAGCTTCGCTGAGCGACCTTTGCATGCCAAGGTCTGTGAGCCGTCCAATCTCCATGTCGCGAACTTGCGCCAGCATTTCCATGTGTAGCTGCCCAGGGACATCAATGACTTCTTGAGAGAGGCGAAATGTACTTGGCGTCACCTCATTCACTTCAATCAACACATCGGCGCGCACACGCGCACACCAGGCACACGCACGCACGCTTACATTGGCCTCATGAGCCAGGTACAAATGCATCCTTGAAGTGAGTGGAAATTGCTGTTCAAACTCTTTCTGCTGAGGAAGGGCTTCAACGGCACTGGGCTTCGTCGTCGGCTCCTGACTCATCAGGATTAGGAGCTCGTCAAAACCACAGAAAAGTGGCGCGATCGCGACACAAAGGCAAAGTGCCTTGCCCAGCCCAAGCTCGGTGCTTCGAATCGCCGACAGCGGTGGGCTGTCTTTTGATTCGCGAAGACCTGGGAAAGCGAAAAAAAAAAAAAACGGCGGTCCCTTTCCAGACAACGGGGCATCCAAAGGCCAAGTGGGCCAAGCATGGCCAAGCCCAAGACGTTTCTTCATCTTGAGAATATGTCCCGGCAAGAAGCCCATCGCCTCCAGGTGCTCATCCTGTGCAGAGCTGCAAAGCCAGCAGTCCCGAAAGAAATTCAAAACAGGAGTTTCCTGAATCTCAAGCAGGGTCTCCATGTCGTCAAAGCCATCTCTGAACAAGGCATCGATGTATTGGGGCAGACCTCCCCAATCTCTCCAAACATCGGCCAACAAACAAGCGGATTTCTGCGGCCAGAGCCCCGCCTATTTCGCGCATGAATCTGGCAACCTGTCCCAAGCAAGTGGATTGGACAAGAGTAAGAGCGCTTGTGCGCACAATGCGGACGCGCTCCATCTGACCGAGGGACGGGGTTGCGTTCCTTGCCCTTGCTGAAAGATCTGCAGCTTGCGACCTGTCACGACAGGTGCAGGCAAAGGCATGCGAAGGCCCAGGCCCCCTGAGAGGCGCGAAGACTCAGCTGGAGACCTGCGCCGCCTTCGCCTGCCCGTCTCGACGGCCGCGTGCCGTGAGGCTTGGAGTGGCGACCGGTCGTTGATTCGGAGTCGTGTGCCCGATCGGCCCTGCGCACATCACCGCAGCTGGAGCTGGCGCATCTTCAGCCGGAGATTGGCACTGTTTCCGCCTGGTGTCGGCCGCGTGCCACGCACCGCGGCCTCCGGCCTCCGAGCACCTCAAACAGCAAACAAAAGAGAGAGAGAGAGAGAG